AGGCAAAATGAGCAAGAACGCTCATTTGTACATCATTCTAGACAGAAATAAATGGCCTTTTCAGAAAGTGAACCATCGATAAGGAAATGTTGGCAGTTTTCTCAAAAAATGCTTGAATTCAAGAAGTTTTTAATTTGCGTGGTTTTCTTTGAGTTGAAAAATCCACTTGAACCTAACGCTGCTTTTTTCGAAGTTTCTCAAGAACCATTCGAACCAGAGAATTCGTTTTGGCATCGTTAAATAGAGAAAACTCGATTCAGTCATAACAACGTTAGTGAGGAAATTCGAGTAGTTTTGACCCAGAAAGCAAAATTTGAAAATCAGACACTTAGGTGCAAGATTATGCCAAAATTCCATGTTTTCCGTCCCGGTTTTGCTCATTTCTCGAAGGCAAAATGAGCAAGAACGCTCATTTGTACATCATTCTAGACAGAAATAAATGGCCTTTTTAGAAAGTGAACCATAAATAAGAAAATGTTGGCAGTTTTCTCAAAAAATGCTTGAATTTCAGAAGTTTTAGATTTGCGCGGTTTTTTTTAAGTTGCAAAATCCACTTGAACATGACGCTGTTTTTTTCGAAGTTTCTCAAGAACCATTCGAGCCACAGAATTCGTTTTGGCATCGTTGGATAGAGAATTGAATTCGCCCTTGGGAACAATAAAAATAAATATTTGAGTTAAAAGCTGGGAAGGTTTCCCTTGAATCTGACCGTCGGTTGATTTTTCTGAAGCCTGCAAACTTCGTGAAATTTAAGGATCCTACAACTTGCGGCGCAGCTTAACAAAAATCTAAACTCCCAAACTATTGGGCAGACAAACAATTTGGGCTCAACAAAAAGGAAGGTTTGGCCTAAAAGCTACCGGATTTTTATTAAAATCCGACCATTGGCTGATCTGTTACGAACAGTTGAACATGGATCTAAAAAAAATCGAAACTCAAACTACTGAAAGAAGCAGTTTTGGCAAATTTGGCACAGTAAAAATGATTATTTCAACAAAAAAGTGAGAACAATTTCTGATCGGCATCGGCTGAATTTTGCAGTAAATGCTCTGCCATGTTTGGCAACAAAAGCGCGTTTTCTATCAGATGACGCAATTTCTTCATCATTTCTACCCGATTTGGTATCAACACCATAACAAAGTACCTGGGGCCTCCTTCGTCAAAACGCGAACAAAGAATCTTCAAGGCGGATTATCTCAGACAATCCTGCATTTTTTATTTCGGTGGCGCTGTTCTGTCCTGAAAATCCCCGAGTTTCGACTAGTTTGCTTTAAAATCACCTCGAAACTACGCAAAAAACTTGAAAAAAAAAACATTTTTTCGACTTAAACTCTGACCAGTTACATGATGAGTAAGCTATGGAATGGAAGACACAACTTCAAAGCGATCTTAGCCTAGTAATAATAAAAAATAAAAATAAAACTGGCGACTCAAAAATGCTGGGCTGGTATGTAGATTAAAAGCTGTTTAAAGGCTGTTTATTTTCAGCGAGCATACTTGTTCCAGCATGTAAAAAATCGACAAAAGAGACGAAAAAAAAAGTACTAACTCTTACCTCAGTAGCGTAGAGCACATCTAGGATTTTCTGGATCAATGGGTTGTCGCCTTCGGCTTCCTGGCACATTACCTCAATATCCCGCAGCTTGCCAAAGTAGAAGTCGCGCTCCTTCTCCAACCCGTCGATTGAGCCCTGAAAATAGGGCACAGTTAGCAAAAAAAACCCTGAGGAACAAGAAAAACACAGCTACCTTGTATCCCTCGAGTTGGCTCTTGAGATCCTCCAGTTGTCCGGAACTGTCGCCAGCATTTCGATTGGCAGCCGGTTTGGAGGCGGGAACAGTCCTAGGAGCAGTCGCCTTAGGCACTAGAGCACCGAAAAAGAAATCAGCATCGAACTTCCTTCCGCTCGGTTACTAGAGCGTGCCAGGTTTGCATAAGCGGTGAAGCGAATGAAGACAATGAAAATAGCATGACCTCAACAGAGAAATGAAAATAGTCAAATCAACTCCTAGTCACAGTCAGACACGCAATTGCAACATTTGGCTTCATTTGTGGCTGCCACTCATGATGCCCAGCTGAGTGGCAAGCAAAGCAAAGCAACGGTTAACATAAAATCGTTGAATATAAGCCACAAATGAAGGTTTTTCGTTTCTATTCACGCGTCACGTGCATTCGCATTTGTCTAACGCCCAAATACTGATCAATTGTTCACATTCGGAGTAAAAATCAAGGACGAAAAATGATTGAAACATTTGTTAAAGATGCTTGAGGACATACTGGATCGGGCTGGCGGTATTGACTTCGTTGTCGACTTGGCGATTGCGGAGGGCTGAACCATCGCACCCATCGGCTTCTTTTGCATAAGGCTGTTCCCTTTGGGGGCGCCCGCTCCTCCGTTGCCCATGCCTTCGCCACCCCTGGCCGCCAACGCGTCGTAGCCGGTCCCCTGATAGTTGGCGTCGAAGAACTTCTTAAACCATTGCAAAAACTCGAAATTGTCCTGGAATCGGCCCTTCACCAGTTTGTCGATGGCCACTATCTAGAATGCGGTCACAGTATGATAGAAATGTGCTGGAAACAATTAATTCAACGCAATGATGACTGAATGAAACCAAAATCAAAACAAAGTAAGTCACGATGAGATAGCTGGACAGCAGCACTAGTAGGCGGACTACAAAGAGGGACAGCACAGCACCAGAGGGACCTTTGGAGGGTGGATGGCGTCCTTCGCTGAGAGTTGCCAGTAGTTGACTTTACTACCGATCAAGGGAAGGTTTACAGTTTTTAGCAACCGGCAACTCTGATTCGACGCAAGCACTGTCCATCCACCCTTTAAGCGAAACCGACCCATACCATGCCTGGGGGGTGGGGCCGTTTTATGGTGTCCATTGCTGTGACTGGATCCAGAGCCCAAACCAATCCCGCTTCGAGTGTCCAGAGCATCGTAGTCGCGGCCATCGTAATTTGCGTCAAAAAATTTCTTAAACCACTGCAGAAACTCGAAGTTGTCTTGAAACCGGCCCTTAATCAGCTTATCCACCGGGATAATCTAACTCAAGACAACAAGACATACACGTATTGAACTCGCCTGGCCACCTTACCTTGTCTACTCCCATTTTCTTGAACGCCGCTTGCAATATTTTGAAATTCTGTATATACTCATGCTCGAGATTCGTGCGGAATTTCACTCGCTTCAGCTGCACGGAACCTGCAAACCAACCAGAATTAGACTAAGAATGGTTTTTTCGCAGTGTGCTGACTAACCATGGAACAGCATATCCATAAACTGGCAATAGGCCGCGCCAGTACAGAGTTCTTCAATTTTTCTGTAGTCGCTCTGCAGACATTCGTTCACCCAGGCCAGCATGTCATGCCTGGATAAGTTCTCGGACGTCACGTTTGTTGAGTACACGTTCACTGCCATTTTATCTGGAAAAAGCCGCTCGTTTCAACAACACACCGAGCAACCGGACGCAACAACTACGTAATTCACACTCTCATTAAAAGATCAACCGACTGATTGCCGTTATCGCAAAGTTCTACAGCATGTTTTGTTGTTTTTAGTTTCCTTCGGAATTAAATACTGGCTGAGCCACGCCCGTCACTAAATCGGGAATAATTGTTCCACTCAGCAATCGTCCAAGCATGGAATGCCGTGTCAACATTGGTTTGAAGACGGGCTTGGAAGCAATGACTCACTGAAGATTGCATACCCAAACCCAATAAGTAAGCGGTTTTGTACCTTTGTACAGTCTAAAGAAGGCTTCTATAGGTCAGTCACTGGATTGATCGCTTGTTGGCACCTTTCCAGACAAACCGCTTCGAGGAATCCAACAATGGCCAACCGATAGGAAATTATCAAAAGTAAATTATTTGCCTGCACAGTGGAAAACTTGTGGAAGTAGCAACTTGAAGTTTTTTCACAGCAAAAAGAAAGGTTGCAGCTAAAATCCGAGGAAATTTCGTTAGAATCCGAGCGTTGGCTGATTTTTTACAAGACGCTGAGCCTGGACATGAAGTTCAAAAGGCCTCCTTGTGGTGGATCAATTATATCAAGAAAAATCGAAATTCCCAAACTAAGGCAACCTACCAGCCATTTGCAAATTTGGCACAATAAAACCAAATGTTTGAGTGAAAAGCTGCGAAGGTTTTCATTGAATATGAGGGTTGGTTGATTTTTCATAAGCCTTTGAACTTGAACAAAGCGAAACTTCCAAACTAGTGGAAATACCTTCACATTTTGGGGCAACAAAAACGAACACTGAGGAACTGATTCTTTAGAAGATGCTGACCCTCGACGTGAAACTCAAGAATCCTCCTAACTTGCAGTAAATTTGAGCAAAAAATCGAAATTTCCAAATGCCCCAGCACAGTGAAAATAAAGATGTGAGTTAAAAGCTGACGAAAATTAATTAGGATCCCTAAAGCTGACTGATTTTTACAAATCATTTGATTTTGGACGTCGAATTGCCGAATACTCCTAAGTTGCAAAGACGCCACGCTAAAGCACGAAGGGGGAAACTTGCAATCATGACACAATAAAAAAGGTTTTAGCGAACATCTAGAAAAATCTTATTAGACTCTCAGCAGTGGCTGACTTTTGCGAAATTCTTGAGCATGTACCCGAGCCAGAAAAAAGCCCAAAAGCCCGAACCACTTGAAAATTTTCCCGTCGCAATAAGGAAGATTTGAACGAAAAACTGAGACCATTTTAGTTCAACCAATACAAATGATGGAACTTCGATGCAGAGCTAAAAAAATTTACATCTGCATGTAAATACCTACGTGAAAATTCGACCAAGACACAACACATGCAAGCACAGACGCCTAGTCATAACTGGCTGCAGTTGAATGGGGCCAAGCCCTTAACACTAGTTGCTCGAATCACCGAGCCTAACCCATCTTCATGTCCAAACAACAACCAGCAACAGGGCCATTAAGAGCAACAACTTGCTATAAAAGTAGTGAAACTGTTGTACTTCTGACCTGATGACCAATTTAACAACACCAGACCAATATCCCCCGGCAAGAAACGTACAGACTGTTTGGGGTTAAGTGGGTCCCCCCAACTGGGGGCCTCGAGCTGCTACTGCAGCCCTGCCAATGCTGCGTGCTATAAATAACCGGTTTGGGCAACCCGTGGTCAAACAGAGGGCAATTTCCAATCAAAATAACTTGAATTTAACGCAATTTTTTTCGAAGACAGTCCAAATGTCGAGGGCTTATTTGGAACGGTGTCATCAAGCCGTTGGCCTCCAGTTCCGGCCGCTACCCTTAACACGAACTACTGAATGTACTTACCTGTGTTTGTTGATTAGTTAGCCCCAATCAAGCTCTGCTAATATTCAGTTAATTTGTATCTAATCGCGAAATTTCAACACCGGGCCTGCCGACCATTTAACTTTCGCTCACGGACACCAAACGACTGCTGCCAACATCGAAAAATTAAAACCCTACTTTCTACGACCGAGCCAAACAACCGACTGAGAAAAACCCTATGCATGCGAGTTAACTCGAAAATAACCAAAATGCGCCAATTTTAGTGTTTTCTGTACCGTAAATTTTTCAGCTTTTTTTCCAAGTCATAGGCAAGAAATCAGTAATTTTACTAATTAAACTAGACAATGGCATGCATCCCTCCACTAGTTGGCATCTCTTTTTGGCTAATCATCATTGGAATCTTCATCATTTGTCTTTATCTATGGGCATTACTAACCTCAACTTGCCAATTTTTTGAAAAGTCTGAAAACACTTTTGCAACTTTCCAAAATATAGCTAACGATGACGTCGCTGGACGTTCCGCCGATTTTCTCGGACACCATGGAAGAGCTGGAAAAGTACCTGTTGTGTCCGGAGCGCCTGTCGATTCACCAGTACAAGAAAAACCAGCAGTTTTGGCCGCGGAAGGCGCAGCCCGTGGAGCTGCTGTGCGTTGATGGGGCTTCGCCCTCCACTACCCTTAGAGTAAGTCATTGAGTTCGCACTTCCGCAATGGAGCCCCCTAATGTAAAGTGAAGGTGCAAAGAGACCTGGATACCGGCCAGATCTTGCAATTCCATGAAGTGCCCCTGGATTCTGTAGGAGCAAACGCTCGCAACTCCATGTCTTTTAACCGGGAGCCCGCCCCTCCTGATGAGGCGGTGCGAGGCAACTCCTCCAGCATCCCGTTCCAGCCCATCAGCTTTCCAGAGCCAACCCTCAATCTGCCTAAACGCAACCGGCTACTGGACAATTCCGGTAAAGATTGCCCAACATCCATTCTATCGCCGCTAATTGAAGGTTTTAGAGCTGCTGGTCGTTCCGCCGGGCTTCAGCAGAGGCCTAGCATTTGCTGAAGATGGCCGGAGTTTGATCAAAGAGAGCGCAGACCAGCCCCAAGTGCCCTTGGGGGCCACTATCAATCTTCTAGAGCTGATCCATCAAGAGGAGGAACTTTTAGGGGCGTTCGAGCAGAAAAAGGAGGAGAGCGAACTGGAGGAGACGGTGCCAAGCACAGAACTGCTGCCCGAGGAGCAGGAGGTGCTCCCCAAAGAGGTCCAGGTATTGAACATTTCCGTCCAACCTCCATCTGCGTTGCTGTGTGGCGGCAGCGAATGGGCCATTCCTCTGGACCCCAACCAGAAGATCACGGACTTTGAGAAAAAAGTCCCCGATATGGCCAAGAAGTTCCCGTTTGAGCTGGATAACTTCCAGAAACTGGCCATCATGCAGCTGGAGCAGCACAATCACGTTTTTGTCGCTGCCCATACGTCAGCTGGTAAATACACCCTAGACCAAGTGAAACTGATAGAAGCAGTCGTAGCTCCTGATTGGTTGCAGGCAAAACTGTGGTGGCCGAGTACGCAATTTCCCTTTCGCAAAAGCACATGACCAGGACGATTTACACCTCCCCAATCAAAGCGTTGTCCAATCAGAAGTACCGCGACTTCAAGTAACTGCCCTCAAACCCCCAATTTGCAACAGAATTCAGTTTTTTCATTCATTCCAACAGGGAAGAGTTTAAGGACGTAGGCCTGATAACGGGAGACTTCCAAATCAACCAAAAGGCCTCCTGCTTGATTATGACTACAGAGATATTGCGCTCCATGCTGTATTGCGGCAGCGACATTACCAGGGATATTGAGTATGTGATTTTTGATGAGGTGAGCTTTGAGCTTCCATTCAAGTCCTATTCAAGTATGTGAATGTTTCCTTCTGAGGTGCATTATATAAACGACCGCAGCAGGGGCCATGTATGGGAGCAAGTGCTCATAATGCTGCCAAAAGAAGTTTGTGTGGTCCTGCTGAGCGCAACCGTTCCCAACACTCTGGAATTCGCCGACTGGCTGGGCCGAACCCATAAAAGGAAAGTCTATGTGATCACCACCACAAAACGGCCGGTTCCACTGCAGCATTTCCTCTACACTGGCCGCTGGGGCGGCAGCAGAAACAACAAATTCCTGATTATGGATGCGGAAAAGTGGCAGCCTAAAGGGTAAACCCTCAACTTGCACATCCAGCAGAAAAGATATATATATACTTTCAAATAATCTAAGAAACTAATGGGGAATTGCAGCTACTTTGAAGCTACCGGGGCTCTGGAGCGCTTCAAGGAGCCCAACATCCGCTTCCTGAACAAACAACAGGAAAAAACGCTCTGGACCAGTCTGGCGGACCATTTGCTGAAATTCGAGCTGCTGCCAGTGGTGGCCTTTATTTTCTCTCGGCAACGATGCGATACTAATGCCGATATTCTGTCGCATCTCGATCTGACCACGCAGCGCGAAAAGTCCTATATTCATCAATTCTTCAACAAATGCGTCCGGTAAGTTGTTCTCCCCAGCGGGGTTCCAGTCGACTTGTGACCGCTTAACTCTTGGGCAGGTCGCTCAAGGAGCCCGATCGCAACATTCCTCAAATAGTGAAAATGCGCGACATCCTGAGCAGAGGCATTGGCGTCCATCACAGTGGCGTACTGCCCATAGTCAAGGAGATCGTCGAAATGCTCTTCCAGCAAGGCTTGATCAAGGTAGCCTATCAGCGTGTTGGCGCAGTTTAGATTAGTTGGATTTTTCCAGATTCTCTTCGCCACCGAAACATTCGCGATGGGCGTGAACATGCCCACAAGGACCGTAATATTCGACTCTATTCGAAAACACGATGGACTTGAGCAGCGCAATCTACTCCCGGCCGAGTACATCCAAATGGCCGGCAAGTTACCTTCACTTGTTTGTATAAACCTGCAAACTTAAGCATTTCTTCCTATTTACACGAATTTTTGGCGCAAATTCACGCTAAAGAGACTGGCTTGTCAAGGAACACTCTATACATATCAGCACATTGAACTTTTCTGGGCGATTTACAGGCAGAGCGGGCAGACGAGGCAAAGACGACAAAGGCACCGTTCTGATCCTGTGCAAGCTGAACGTGCCGCCTGAGGGCGATCTGAAGCAAATGATGACCGGCAAGCCCAGCAAGCTGGTCAGCCAGTTCCGACTGACCTATGGAATGGTAAGTCGTAAGATAAGCTGATAATGAGTACATGGTTGAGTAATTTCAGGTGCTGAGCCTGCTGCGAGTGGAAAGCCTGACCGTTGAACAGATGATATCGAAGAGTTTTGGCGAGGCCGACCATCAGAAAAACGCACCCGAATTGGACGAGGAACTGCAAAGGACTGAACAGAAGCTGCAAGATTTACACAAGCAGTCGCTGAGCAGCTACTTGCAGCCGCTGACAAAGTTCTTTGACGCCGCCAATCTTTATCTGAAGAAGCGCATGGAACTGATGGTACTCACTTGAGCGTGCGTGTGCTCGATTGCAACTTTTTGCGTTGCAGCCGAAGCTGGTGGCGGTTGCCAAAGTGCAGAAAGTGCTCCTGCCCGGTGCTTTGATAGTGATCACTAAGAAAGGGCACATCAACAAGCTCGCCTTGATTATATCCAAGAAACTCTCCCAGTATATGGCGTTGGTGCTCACTGATCCAAGCGAGGCGGACTCAGGTGAGTCATCGTCCACCACTAATCACCAACCAAACAAATCAGAACTTATCCAGTTCCAAAAGCCAACCTTGGCCTTGGCGCTTCCTAGTTGAATATGCGTTCCATAGAGAACTTTCTTTTATTTGATGTAATCAATTGTTTGGATTAGGAGGCAATACGAATGACGACAGTTGGTACCACATGCTGGCTCTAGCTGAAGACACGCTGTTCTTGCCCTCAAGCAAACCGAGCCACACAGTCCTCAAATTAAATGCAGAGGATATTTTCGAAATATCCTCAAAAAGCCTGAAGCTGGACACCAAGCTGGTGGAGTCCGATTGGGAGAAGCGGCAAATGGAGCGCTTCAAGTCCAACCCACCAGGTACCCGCCAATTCCCCCAACCTAAAGCGTCTACTATACACATTTTTTAAAGGTGAAACGTGCATGCAGGCTGTGCAAGAGTTGCAAAAGCTCACCCTGCTGGCCAATGAGAGCAAAACCAGCTTGGCGCTCGTGCATTTCGTCCGCGATTTGAACGTGAACGGACAGGATTTGTACTTTGATCTAGTGGAAATGTACGAGGCGAAGGACAAGCTTATCGACCACCTGCCCAGCACCAGAATCCCGAACTTCCAAGAGCAGTTTGGCGCAGTCTTCGAAAGGAAGTTTTTGGAGGAGAAAAAGAAGGACTTGGAGTATCAACTGTCGACGCCCAGTCTGGCCTTGTATCCGGACTACAAGAACAGGATCGAGCTGTTGAAGACTTTGGGGTATGTGGATGGGGAAAACACCGGTAAATACACGCACATTCTACCCCAGGCAGCCGGGCACTGATTGATCGGTTTTCCAGTTAAACTAAAAGGCAGCGTTGCCTGCGAAATGGGCATGAATGAGCTATTGATAACCGAACTGGTGGTTGATGATATTTTCGTTGATCTCAAACCGCCCGAAGTGGCTGCTCTCCTCTCTTGCTTGGTCTTCCAAGTGAAGCTCAGAGGAGACCCCAGCGAGTACGAGCCGCAACTGACTCCCAAACTCAAAAAAGTAAGTGCTGGAATGCAATTGATCTAAGCTTCAAAAACGTAATACTTAGCCCAGAATGCTGTTGCATGCAAAAAACCTGCTTTCAGGGCATTAGACTGATCAAATCGGTGCATCAGAAAATCGCCAACATGGAATTGGCGCTGGGCATCCAGACTGAAGAGTTCCAGAACGAGCTGAACGTGGGTTTGGTGCATGTGGTCTACCGTTGGGCCAATGCTGAGGTAATAATATTGTTTTTCAGAAGTACCGGTGTTCAAGACGCATTTTTTTTTAATTTTCTCCACTCGTAACTACTTTTTTACAAAAACCAGTAGTTTTTTTGCGTTTTTACTTGTCCAAAGAATGTCTCACTGCCCTTTTGCTCATGTGCTTACAGTGATAACGCCTGATAGATTAAAACTTCAGAATAGAGTGAAAACTACCACTTTTGCATGTGTTCTAGCCATTCGCGGAAATAATGAAACTAACGGAGATCCAAGAGGGAATAATAGTGCGATGCATCCAGCAGCTAAACGAGACGATTATGGACGTGAGAGATGCCGCAAAAATCATCGGAAATCCCGCACTCAGAACGAAGATGGAGGAGGCTTCGGCAGCCATCAAGCGCGACATTGTTTTCGCCGAAAGCCTCTACACCCAAGATGAAAAGTTGTAGGTTTGGTTCACTACTGCGATCAATAAATCATTGAAAAACATTATTATTATCAGTTTGGCACAAATGAGACTTCGCAATACTGTTAAGACGTATTCTATCGGGTCTGAGTAGTAAAATTCCCCATACTCCATCCATTCACTCCTTCTGGCCAATGATCCACAACATGTTCACGCCGGCTCTGCCCAAGTTCACTCTGCCCAGCATGCCCTGTTCCAACTTGTTAACGTGATAGATAAAGAACACGATGCTGTGGAACAGATTGTTGTAGCCCTGAAACAAATTCCTTGATTAGTTACTTAAAAAGGCAAGGAATATTGAGAGAATTTCGCCCCATACCTTGACCATTTCGTAGATTTGCTCGCCCACTATGACGCGATAATGAGGCGGCTTTTCGCTCACTTCCTGTATAAACAGACTGTTGGGCGTCAAGGCGGGCATTTTATCCGTTGCCTTCACATAGTAATGTCCACTGAAGGCTTTTGTGTCCGGTAGATTCGGCGAGGGCATCAGCTGAGTGTCCAGATAGCAGGACAACAAATGCATGATAATCTAAAGCGAAAGAAATGTTCCCAGTTCAGTCAACAAATGAGGACCAGGCGCTTACAGTGCAATCGGTTGGTAGGGATTCATCCCATTCCTTTCCGTTGAATTTGCTGCCGCCGTTCCACTTAAACTCGCTCATGCAGCCGCCTCTGGATAGTTCCCGGATTCGCTTGGTTAAGTACTGTTGATTGGCGTGCAGCTCCAAGAACGACAGGATGGTCGACATCGAGGGAATGAAATGAGCCACTTGGCTCTGGAACATTCGAGGGTAAAAATGGGAAGTTTTCGCGGAAAACCCTACCGTTAGAGCAGTTTTCCTCAGCCGGTCCAGGCCAACGTTTCCAATTTTGATGTCGGACATGTTGTGCTTCTCCAGAGAGCTGTTGATCAAGTCGAACTCCTTCACCAGACGCTCCAGGATTGTCTGCGACAACCACTACGGAAAAGCAGCTGCACTTTCCGCTCAAATTTTCCGTTTCCAAGAAAACTTACCATTCTCAAGTTTTCATTCCATTGCGTTAAGGCCACAGTATCCACATTGATCCTGGTCCAGACCTCCAAAGCGGTCACATTGCCGCTGCTTTTATCGTCCGGGTTGCCTGACGGGCTTCCACTCAAATGCTTCGCTGAAACAAAGTTACACTGAAGTCTTTTACCATCATTTCTTTAAAATGTCTACTGGAAGTGTGGAGTGGAATATCAGCACGAGCAACTTTTGCAATTGCCGAGGTGGTTTGCGCTTGAAAGCTGACACAAGTCTCGATTTTTTGCAAAAGTTTTATCTATAAAACATAAAACATCCCCGGAACAAACCAACTCTGCAGATACAAGCGGGTTTTTTCCTGCAGCTTCCAGAGTTGCAACTCACTGGTAGACTGCGTGGACAACTGGTACTGGTTCTTCCTCAGAAACGAGCTCATATCTTTGGAAGTTTGCGTGATTGGGTGGCTCCAGAACGAGCTCAGGAGATTGTTCTGCGTGATTTTGCCCTGGAATACCGAATGAAGCTATTGGGAGCATCGAGTACTTGACGGGATTCGAACTTACATCGTCCGGCTTGGGGTGCTGCTTCGCCAGCTCCTCATCGTCATCCTCAAGGTGCTGCATTGAGGAAACATTTTGGAAGCTCACCTGCTTTCCGTTCTCGGTCCGCTTGGCGCAGCCCCACGACGGGGACTGGGTGGAATAGTTCAGACCTGCAGAAATCCTTAGAATACCCTCAAGGCGTTAATCGACTCCACTTACTCTGATTGGGTGAAACGAAGGACCTCCAGCTGAGGGCGGTCATGTTCATGGGGGTGGTGTCCTGGCCAGGGGAGGCCTGCGGCGTCCAACTAAAGCCGCTCAAGTTCATCGACTGTTGGGGGGACGAGAAGCTATTCAGCCGTTTTACGGGTGATTTCGCCGAGTTAATCAGGGTGTAGTTGGGATCTAAGCCATAAAAGCATCAATAAAAGTGAGTCAGCCAAGTCAAGCGGCGTCTCACCTGCATCTGGGACGCCCAGCAGCTTCTTCTGTTCGGCTGTAACGGCAATCTGGTCAGCGCAAGAAAAGTACAGCCGAATCATCCGCGCCAAGTAGTAGAGAACGTTCAGACTGAACACTACAGTCAGACTATACTCAAAGTAATGGTAGAACCCCATTGCCCAGGGGCATGTCTGCGTACTAAAACAGGGCTTAGTCACTTAGTCCAGATCTATTGAAGACACTCACATATCGTAAACGACGATGGCTAGGAAAGCGGCATTGACTCCACACCATACTAAACTCTCTTTCAGCTTGCTGCGCTTCTTGTTGAGAATGAGGCTCCGTTCCAGCACCCCTGAAGCGTTCATCGTTCGATACAGCTCCTCTTTCGATACTGTTCTATTGGGGCTGAGGCAAAAATGCTTAACTACAGATCCTTAATAAGGGGGTACACTTACGTGTATGAAGCCATTGTTAATTCACTCCGGCGTATTGTAGAAATGTGCACCTTAATAATCTGACTTGTTTTTGTTGATAATTAATCTGTAGTTAACATGGGTTAATAAGGATAAAAACACACGAGATCAGGACACAGGACGTTCGAACCGGAGATTTGTTCCATCATTTGCGCAAGCGCAACAATTCTGTCAGACGTAAACAAACCATAGACGTCCAGCCGCCTCCTGCTGCCTAAAATTTTAACCACAAGTTAAGTAGAATTTGACACTCGTGTCACATTGGTGTTTACATCTGAATGTGATTTGTTTGATTCTAATCAACTTTGGCAACCTTTTAACGAAATAGAAACAGATCGAAAAATGTGTAAGGGTTGTTTTACGTCCTAATGGCATGAACTCCAATAAATAAACCAGTCTGACAAGTCCTAACTGTCAATCAACAACGAGCATTTCGACGTTTCGCAGCGCCACCATCGGTACGGTGAATAACAAATTTGAAGTTTGGTGGCACGACATTAATCGTCGGTAGAGCGTTGTTGCCATACCGGTAATAAATTCCCGCAACAGTATTAAATTATGTGAAGGCCGTCTCGCTTTTGCTGATTATTCTTTATGGACTAATGGTTTATTTGAAAAGTACCAATATTCCGTCAACGCAAAAGTTATGGACAAATGCAACAAGCAAACGTCACGTGACATTAAAAAATATCCGATGAATCTACGATGGATTCGGCAGCATTGTAATTTTCAACAAACTGATAATTTAAAAAGTGATCATAAATAATCAACATCGCTTTAAATTCTGTAGGTTTCTAAAGTTTTTTCGCATTTTATGATTGCTTGAGGTTCTCCAATGCCCAAAACGCAACAAAAAAGATTCAACTTATGACACAAATTTCATGCATAATTTTTTTATGTTGGTAGTCAAATTTCGTCACTGATGACGTGCGACCGAAGCTATAGCGTATAAACTACGTTTGTTGCTAGTCATCCGAGAAAAAAACATTTTAAAATCATAAAAATATAATTTATGTTGAGATTATTATTGTCGTCCCACACAACAATAATCTTAAAATGTGTCAACAAGATGACAAGTAAAACAATTCAAAAATAATATACCTATTTATAATTATTTATTAACACTTTTTTGTTCATGGCTTTTGAGCTATGTATATACAATAGACGGTTTTTTCTAGAAATCATCATCAACGCTTTTTATTCCCAATCCCCGACCAGAATAGTGTTCAACTAATGTGTAAAATATTGCAACATTGTGCAAAAGTGTGGAAATATAGAAAAATATTTTTTACTACTAACCTGAGAAGACACTATTATTTACTCCGTTTCCCCAATGAACTGTATACAAGTACTTTAGTATACAGTTCATTGCGTTTCTCTAGTGAGAAGTTATCTTTCTCTCCCTAGGCAATAAAAATAATACAAAAAGTCCCTTGGTAAATAATGAGAGGTTTACGTTTTTCATTATTTTCGCTCACCCGTTCAAGAAAGATTCCATCCATTTTCAGTTCTGAAATCACTGTAACTTTAACATTCACTAACTTTTCGCCTTTCGCAGGAGTTTTTCATAGAACTTTTATCTGATTTTAGGAAACGCAAAAACTATATGCTGTAGTTTGACAACTTAACTATCAAATAGTGACAGTTCTCGGTAATGATCACTTCTCCACTTCTTTACAAATTTTCCTCAAACTTCCCCAGGACAGATCATCAAACCTAAATGAAGTCATTTTGTCAATGATTCTTCATTAAAAACTTCCTGAAGTTTCTGAGCTTAACCTCAAGAAACGAACTATTAAATTGATTATTTCAGACGGCCTCCATGGAGGCCCACAAAAATTGCCTTAGCGCACGGTATTTCACGTGCACTTGGCGGGGTATTGGTTAAAGTTTTCAACTAGCAATAATCGCACCTCGGATAGACCTCATTGGTTACGATAATGCCACTGCGCAAAGCTGACGATGAACTCAGAAAATCGCCCCTTTGAACCCTTGCATCGATCACCGACTAGAAAAATGTGCACCCTTGCGCCATCTAGCCTGCCAGCCGGCACTAGCGCGCCCTAATGTGAACAGTTGACTCCACTTCGCAGCATTGTCAGTTTGGCCGTAATTTAACGGAAGTTGTTACCATGGCAGCTGAAAACGACTCATCAGGACTCATGTCAAGTTGAAGGAAAAATGAAAATCCTCAAGTCCAGGCAGGTTTGGAGATCTATCCGATGCATGGGCCACATGGTGGGAAAGCGCGATCAGTATTGGCTGGATCGGATTGGGAGCAGGGAGATAGTCGGCTATGGTAAGACAACGGAATTTTTTCCTAAATTTCTGCAAAAACAAGGATTAAAGGATTGAATGGCCAGCCGTGTTATGCCGATTGGGCAGATTTTCCGTTCCCGGCCATCAAATGGAAGGAAACCACGCCGGATATCCAAAGTTTGAACGAGAAGGCCAAAGGCGACTGGCGGCTGCTGAGTAAAGAGGAGAAGAAAACTCTGTACCGCGCCAACTTTTGCCAGACTTATGCCGAATTTCTGAATCAACCAGGTAGTTTTTGTGCAATTTTCTGTGCCAAATAAGCCCCAATTTGTGGCTCAGGAGACTGGCCAGAAGTGTTCGGATGGACCCTCGTGCTCTGCTCCTTGCCCATTTGGATTTACCTCTACTTGCGAACCTTCGTCTACGGCGAGTTGCCTGAGTCTTTCTCGCCCTCGCGAAGACGGGCTCAGCTGAGGCGCCAAATCGACCTCCAAATGAACCCCATTCAGGGCTTGAGCTCAGAATGGGATTATGAGCGCATGGATTGGAAACGGGTCACTTGGAGGACGCCTCCGAACCCTTTTGTTGTGTGTCCAGACGATGACTGAGACTCAATAAAACAGTGTACATTTCGATGTAATAAAGCGTTCTCATCTTGAGTGTTTTTACGCTTGATTTTTTCGAGTGGACCAAATCCACTCTGTGAGGGGCTCAAAGGCTGCATTAACGGTCCCGATCACTTTTTCCCTTAGAAGCATTACAAGCCAGATATTTGCCAATATGATTTGCCTTTTGTCCAAAACAAGCAATTTTAGCTCAAACCTTCAGTAACTTTTGCTTGACCATTCGTTTATATCCGGCGAAAGTGCGCTTGTAGGCCTGCATGTTGCCACAGACTATTCGCAAGTTGGCCCACTATGCATTGCAAGATCAATCGGCCGTCGATTTTCGACCTCACCGGGGGGTGCTTAAGTACCAAACTTTTTTCAACCATCAAGTGGATCACTTGAAAAGTTGATTCACCTGAAGAAACGACTGCACTTTGCTTCCCTCTTTGGTACTAGTTGATTGCTTCATTTCCTCTGCTGTGTTAAAGCCTATTGTTCATTTGCTGCGGCAAGTTTAAACACGTTCAGGCGCTAAACGGTTGATTTGGAGGATTCTCAAGTCATCGACCCGCCAGTCCCAACAGGAAGCCCTAAACGGGCAATTTCCAAGCATGTTTTAATCTCCTGAACGTGAGGTTGGCATTTGGAAAAAATCTCTTGTTGCAATGCTGCGAAAGCCATTTATGGTTGAAGCCTTTGAAGCATCCCAGGAAAAATCCGCTGCTCAACAAGTAAAGTCTTGTCGCAATGTCGGCTTTGGCTTGCGAAATCTGAAACGATTTCAGTTTTCCCAAGACGCTCGATGGTAGTGAGATGATGGCAACTTCAGCATAACCGACGATTTTCGTTGTCCGCAACGTGTACCGGAGTTTTGTTCGGTTTGGACGATTTGCACGAGCGGGCAGCATTTGCCAGCTAGTTTATTTAGGGGGCAAAAGTACATTTCCCTGAATACCAGCACGATTGTGCAACACCGCTTTAGCATCAAGATTAGAAGTTTTTAGTAGGCCTGGGTAATTCATTGAATTTTT